ATCAAGGTTGCTCAAACCGCTTGAATTGTCAGCCTGCACTGACTCATCCGACCAATCACAGACGTGGCTGCATCGACGTAAAAATTGTCGATGTATCTGTCAGCGCAAAATTAGAGAAAAAAGCAGTCTAATTTAATGACTTTGGAGTAGATGGTAACCCCCTCGATGACGTTGACGATGATGAAGTATCTAATTTCAAGACCGTTGAACATTGCGATCCCCATGACCCTTATAGTCCGAAAATATGGTGGCAACTAAATGATAATGATACCTTCTTGAATTTGTTCCACTCGTGATAGAATGACAAGTTGTTTGCAGATGGCATTTTTCCCAAATGTTGCATTAAATTTAACAATCAATTTAATTTGTTCTGAGAAACGCATAAATGACAAAAAGGTATGCTTCGAATGGCAGGACGAACATAGTTTAATTCTTTCATGTGGTGTCGACAAATCAAACGCCAGTTTGTTGAACTTCTAAGCAGAGATTTGGCTTGCATCCAGGAGAGTGGAAACCAGGCAACAGCAATTTACTTGTTTGGTGTTGTCAACATAGCCTGCTTAAATGTGTGCTTGTTTGGTTATCGACGAATTGCTTCGGTATTAGCCTCGATTCTAGTGTCTGGGCCGAGTTGTGGAAAATCGAGTATCGGTCGTCTGTCAATACCAATGTTGAAGGCCTTCCTCCACCGTTAGTCTAAGTTTAAATGTCAGGAACCATTTCTTTTTTCGACCTATGGATGAGCCTTGAAGGGATCTAGGAATAAATTTGTCCTTGGAAGCCATTGGTGGAACCTCTAATCCTAAAGCTTCAAAATAACTGTGGTGCAGACAGTGTAAAGAATCGATAGTCGCAAAAAATGCAACTTTTGGAGTTTAATTAATTACTAAATTTCCAATCCTTTATTGCCATATTCACAGGTCCGGGGACGTTGAGTGATTATCGCTAACGGAGGGTGGATATTCAAAAAAGGCAAGGTCATGGGGATACAACCACCATCACTTATGTATCCTACGTGACAAATCGATTAGAGTGAAGTTAGGGATCATTGGGGAGACGAGATGGGTGAGCGTGATCTCGTGTCCTTCGAGTAGAAGTTACGGAAACCGTGGAAGATCCTAAATGGAAATAAAAAAAACTGATTATGCTGCACTTCACTGATAATAAATACGCTTTGTTTCTAATTTAAATTAATTCTTTTTCGATAAGTAAACTTTTCTTGACGTTTTGAACTTAAACAAAGCAGTTTATTGTCTAAAAAGCTGTGAATGCTCATATAAACGTTCTTTAGAACTTCCAGCATGCTCCAAAAATGCGAATTAGGAAACAACCGTGACAGTAAACTTAGGGTGGATTGTGAAGGTGGACCATTAACTCTTGGATAATCTAGAACAGAGTACGACTGGGAAACAGACGATGATGAAGATTACTTCACTGATTAGTAGCCAGAATCGTAGACAGACGTACGGAGGGAAGGTAGGGAAGTTGAGTGCAGAGTGAGTTCACTTCAAGCTGAGTCATATTATGCGGTAAACCAGTGGTTTGAAGACTGTTAGAGTAGTTGAGGCAGTCGAATGGCAAACGTGTGTAGACTTCATCTAACATATTTACTAAACCCGCCGAAGAGGTACGTGGGAGTGAAGCGTGGGGATTCAGGCCATGATCGGCAATGCAGGCAACTGCTCCTGGTTGTTCGAGGTGGATGCTTCCAGCTGCGTTCAAGTGAGACACTGGAAGAAGAAAATTGCTGACATAATTTCACAAAATCAGACATATTTTGACTCAAACATTCTATCCACAGGAACCATTAGAATCAGCAGAGCTTGCGTATTCATGTGAAGTAATTCCTTGGTTACCCGGTTGACGTAAATGGGAATCTGGATTCGTCATATTCATGCACGTTGATCGAAGCTGGGAGGACGTGTAGGCTGTTGGAGGAGGAAGCAGCGGCGTCCTTCCGTCTAGCTGAAACACCTTAAACCGAGGAAGAATACTTATCGATCCAGCCGGCGGCGCAAAAAACCCTCGTAGTAGCTGCCCAATGATCTCGAGCGCATCGGTGGAGTTGGCGAGCAGCAGTAGCCACACAGTCTCATTCAGAGAATTAGTCTGTGAAGAAAGGGATCAGCGTGAGTCAGCGTGAGAATTCTGTTTTAGCAGAGGCATCTTACAATTTTGAGCATTCGAAAGACTTTAGCGAATGCCTGTGGCCCTAGGTAAAGGCGCATTTCTTGGTGCTGAGTCGAGGGTGGGAGGCCGAACACCTGCAGGACAATACGAGCGCCCTCTTCTGGAAGGGGTTGTGGAAAGGGACAGGCTGGATCAGTGGGATTGTCGAAGTCTGCTGTCTTGACACCGATGCTAGGAACTGCTGGAAGCATTGATGGCAGTTGGGAGTGAGTTGTGAGTGATGTAGGTGCTGTTAACAGTCCCGATACGTGAAAAGGCAGCTGAAGGCTTGATGGAAGGTGTGATGGAGTGGAGAGAATTCCAGGCAGGTTCGCAATAAACCCGAATTGAGAGTTCATATTACCCTGCGTCGGTGGCTGCGGTCCATGTAGATGGTTAACCACGCTTGCAGCTTTTCCCCCGCTGCTTATAATACCAGCCAAGTCGATTTCTTGGGCACTTTGACACACCTCGAAAACGAAACAAGTTAAAATCACACAACCTAATGACCTGAAGTTAGTCTACTGCAAGATTCCTCGTTTCACGTCATAACAAACACCTCCAGTCAAAAAAATTTGGTCCTAAATTTGCTGATTATAACCTGGTGAGGTCGAATTTTGCGTTGTGAGAAAGGTACGCATGGAAGTAAAGGTGTTTCCCTGCTACAAGGAGCAGCTGCTGGTACCTGCACGACCTCCGATGGAGACGCCTTGAACAGTTCGACGTAGCGCTGACCAAGGTAGTTGCGATGTCGTTTCAGCGCCCTGTTAGCAGCGTCGTCGTCTACGAAGAGAACGAACGCGTCACCTGTTGGTCGGCAGTCGGCAAGGCAAACTACGTAGATGCCGTTTTCTGCATGAAGTATTTCAGCCTGAGCCTCAGCAAAAAACGCCACCTACAATTACAAACATCGACGCAGAAGCCGCTCATGAAACCACCTCACCACAAAATTGTTTGGCAACTAAACTCAAAATCAATGTTCACCCCAAACTTAAAAGAAGGTAACTCTACTCCACATCTCACAAACTGGTGTCCTAACTTGACTAATCGATAGGTGGGGTTCTCGTTACTAAAACATGACTAGGTAGACGAAGGCGTGTGCCCTGGTGGTTAATGGAAACAATAGACCAATCATGGCAGAGAAGTCACAAAAGCACCATCTTTTGATTGGTTAGGAGAAGTGGCCACGCGTGATTATATCGGGTTAGACGAAACAGCACCTAAGCACATGTGAAGTAGAACGAGGCAGACAAAGCTTGCTAAGACGTAGTCTTGAACATTAAGACAATCAGGATGCACCAGCCAATGCTTTTCTGGGGGCCCTTAATTGCGAATTTTGCACGTAATGCAATGCAAATGCCCTGATAAAAATGGCCAGCCAATCATAATGTGCGGTGTCGCGCACCAATGGAAGCCCACATTGTTAGCTGTTTTAGGCCTGAGGTAGGCAACAATGATGCACATTGTTGTTGTGGTTTTGTCTTGAAACCACCAAGACGTTGAAACAGCGAACAAGTTTACTGAAGTTGGTTCTAACTGATGGTACACTCCGCCTCGTGGGAAGGTACAAATGCGTTTGCTATGCAATAGAATTTGTGGACAAACCAGATGATGGGTTTTGCTGACTTCAAACCAGAGTTGTAGAAGTCTTCCAATACAACAAAAATAGAGATGCACTCAAGGTGGGAGGAATTCCAGTGAAACGGGTTAATAATCTTTATAAAGTGGTTCACGGGAAGATTGTTAGTCACTAGAGTTGGCTGTTAACGGTGCCATTACAACGACGACCACGTCTACACCATCTCGACGAACTTCACCAGATGCTGACGATGTGAGGCACCAGGCAACACAACCACTGCTGTACAGGCGACAGTACACACCAGAGCAGCACCCCTTAACATTCTATCACTTACCGTAAGATCTAAAGCATACACACACAGAAATGCGATCACATTTGTGTAAAAAGATACTACTTTGCATGAAAGGTAGTAGTATATTAATACTGGGTGTTGATGATAAGTTTCTAGTGTACAAACAGTTCTAGTGAATCTTCTAAATGTGCAGAGTGCGATGTTTCCATGCAAGAAAACTGTCCAGCGACTCACTATGTCTGATGTCTTGGTGGCATAGGGCAGTCCACGCATTCTCACGACAATCTGTCCTTCATCGCTGAGCTGTTGAAGGAAGGTGGCAACGTCTGGATTTCGACCTATATCAAAAAGGCAAACGAACTAAACATTATGTAGCAAAATCTTGAGCTACTAATTTCGTATGAGTAAGATCCGAGTTTTCTTTGAGCACGATAACACAACAATGCACATGTTCTTGATAGCGGGTTGCCTTTTTCACCCAAAAACCGTTAAGCGTTCTGCAAGAATGACTGCTGAGCCTAGATTAGAGCAAAATTCGATTGCGTACACACGCTATGCTGCAAGAAGAGCGCTTCATTTGCAAGGGTGATTTGAATCTTGGACGGTCGATGCACTGAAGCCCTGTTCTGTCGTTCAACAGAGCCATTTAGAACCAGACTGTCACCGTTGATGCTCCGCTCACAGGCCAGTCGAGCTTCCAAAGGCGTTTCGAAGGCCACGTAGGCCGTGTTGCTGCGCCGTCCCTCGTGGATCTTGATGGCGACGCCTCCCGGAACAATGTTCAGGCCGCGGAAGAACTTGGCGATGGTCAGCGGTGTGGCAGACCATGGAAGTTGGCGCACCTCAACCACGGTGCCTTGAGTGATCACTGAGGTCTCTTGGCTAAAAGCGAGTAGAATGAGCCCCGTATCAGCTCCAAGCATTGTTGTTTTACTGCCCTGGTTTGATCACTAGGCGCTAATTTGAATTTGTCTCCAAATGCACAGATTGAAAAGTCAACTTAGGTGATTTAAACTAGTCTGCTTGAACCGGTAAGACAATTAGATTGCTGTGGGCCCCAGCATGTGGTCTTGAACCACGCCGGGGCCACGGAATTAACCCTGACCCGATTACGCTTCCTTGATGCCCGCGATGCTGTTCTGGAGATTTTCTGATCAACCTACTGAAATCGATGATGACCAAATCAGAGCGAGAATTAAGCCGAAACTGTTGGTCAAATATTGGTGTGGGCGATTGCATAGACACTCGATTCATTTCACGGGATATTTAAAACTCTACATCTTGGTGCCGCATAAATTAGAGGAATCATAAGACAACCTGTAGCGGATTAACAGCGATCGAGGATCAGTGAACCCTATGTTTACTGACTTGGCGGTGACAATGACTCATCTCCTTTTCATTGGTTGCTGTTATCAGACACCTGTCATCCGCTCACCCATCCACAAACTCCAACACACACTTGGCTGGCGTGACTCTAATAAACAAAATTGTCCCCTGTCGCATCTCTTTACTCCATTTCCGGGTTGTTACGAGCTGGTAACTAGAAGGTTATAAGGTAGTGCTAAAACTCAAGATGCTACAACCCATCCAACCAGCCAATCAGTTTATTTCTTTTAAAAACATCACCATACGTAATGACCAATCACTCGTCAACTATAGCCTCAATTGGAAGAAATTGTATCTTGTTTAAAGCGTGTTTGAAAGAGTTTTTAATAAAATCTAGAGGTGTGCAATGATATTTTTTAATACCTTACAGCACCACATTTAAAACTGATTTCGGCTTATTATGAAGGAACCTTGTTTAACGATAATCTTTGTACCTATGCATCTGAATATCGTTGATTACAAACTATAAAGTTACCTTTTTGTAAAATTAACCTATTTATGGTAACAACGATGATGGTGACGACCTTAAACCGCCAGTGGAAGTGTAAATATCCAGCAAGGTTATCGGAGAAGTGTGTACACCCTACCTACTAGCGGTGGTAGTAGTACGCTAATTCGAATAGATCTAGACAAATTGGTTAGTGAAACATTTTTGATCACAGCCGAGCCTGCTTATAAGTTTGTGTTTGTTGGTCTTCCTCAGAATGGGAGACGTGTCACGGTTAGAAAAACATACATGAGAGCATGCTTGTAGGCAGTTGAGATAGACCGTGGAGGAAAAATGCGGTGCCCTAAAACGAGAACTCAAGCAAATTACACGGCACATCACCAATTAAGGGAAGCGGAATTTCGCACAAAATCTTACCTTGTGCCAGGTAGCGCTCAAGTATCCTGCACAAGTCATCGACCGTCGAGGAAGGAGCACATCCACTACTTAATGGGAGGTTGTGTTCTGTAAAATTTGGATCAGATTGCACTTACGTTGCAGGAAATCGATTACATCGTCATGAGAACAACCACCAGCTTACCAAAAGACTCTCCGTCAATGCCAGCGCTAGACACGAGTTCCCTAATCTCCACGTAGCTCCACCAGATCGATCTGGAGGCTATCGAACTGGAGACCCCAGAATGCACCATTTCAAAGTGCAGACCGTTGCGTAGGCCCTCGTGTCCATTGGTCACCAATGTGACCTCTGATGGCTGATTGTCCGTCTCATGAGAGCACCTGCTTTCGACAGATGTGGCCAGCTGAAGTTGGACAAGTTGAACGCTTAAAACCTCAACCTCAGTCAGCAAAAAACCAATCAACCTTGAAGGCTTACCTCTACGAGTGCATCTTGGAGCGTCGTTATCACAGCTGTCTCACCGTTCGTACGCTGAACTGCCTGTGGTTGGTGCAAATCAAACTTCCCAATGTGAAATGACCATCGCGATATACACTACAGAAAATAAGACATTCACCTATATGGAGTTTGGGCAATCTCGTTTCTGACAGCGTTTCTGGCGATGGCAGCTATTTGTAAAGTCAAATGACCGCCGCTCACTCAAAATCTGCCTAATCCAATCAGATTCTTGTTATGAGATCTACAATAAACTTTCATTCTGCAAGAATGGCTTTAATAGGCCAAAATATTTAAAAAAATATATATTCAAAAGACCAGGGAAATTCTAGTTTGTAATCTCGAGTTTACCAAGATCTCGTAGTTTGCGCATTAATTGTTTTTTTTTAAAAACTGGAACTGCATAGGGTACTGAGCAAATGGGCCTGTCAATTCACTTTTGATTGACCAATAAGAGAACTGTTAGTACTAACAACAGATAAAAAGCATATATTTGAAATCAGTTTGTTGGAGGCTTGTGCCATTGCCCCGAAATAGTAGTACAACCACAACCCTACACTCTAGGCTTATCGGCAGTTTGGGCAGAAAATGGCCAAAAACAAATTCTTTTTTTCCTCGTAGCAATATTAGGAACGATCTGTTTTACGACTTGGGCTCGTGCTTGTCATTTTAGACCAATCATGTGTGTGTAAAAAACCTTCCTCGAATGACTAACGATTTCCAGTTCTACCGGTGAAGACTTAATTTGGCGCAAAAAATGTTCTAATTAAGCGAATCCCACAATGACAGCGCCTCATAATTCAACGGAATAACAAGGCCACAACAATGTCTCACGCGACATTTATTGTACACGCGTTTTGGCAGGTATGGCAGAAATTTGATCTGTGAGTAAAAACCCAGTTTAAGGCGCGTGGTATTCGATTTGAGTCTAAAAGGTCTTTGACTAAATTTGCAGCAAATTCCGGGTAAAATTATGAGGTGTCCGTGTGATGAGTTCGAACTGAAGTGACCTTCATTCTAACCAATCAATTGCCAAGGTGCTTGTTTTCAGCTCCAAGATCGGTTATTTTGCTACAACTCCGCGTTTCAGTGAAAACTATAATCCTCATCTGTTTACTTATTTGTCTACGTATCACTTTGAGTCGGAAATTACGACAATTCTGGCGAAGAAGGGAGCTCTTTCCTGGGATATGATCCTAACAATCTGGTGTTTGATTACACTACCGTGATTTGCAATGGCCCCGGGTTTATTTTTTGGATAAAATTTAAACAGAAATTGCATAAAAAGCCATGTAATATTTCACCTATCAACCATATACCTACCTGTGGTTGATATTGGTTGTTTGCAAAATATGAAAGATGTCATATTAATTGAAAAAAGACATAATTAGATAGTAAAAGCTTTTTTAGTCTGCGCTTTCAATAAATTTTAGTTTATAATAATACAAAGCCATTGAAGATTTGAGGTGCCCGCTTTACAGATATCGGTAGATTAGAATTTTGATCTTGGCAACTTCCAATCATTAATTAGTGACACTTGAAAACGGTTGAGACAAATAAAGGTCAACCATGAGTGACGTTGAATCACCAAAATGACACATTTTTGACCAGATATCGGCCCAACTAACATAAAAAACACAAATTAAGTACTTTAAAATCATGCGCACTTTCTCTGAATAGTCGATTCAAACAAAAACTAAGTTTCGAATGATAATCACGAACTAAGATGATGTTAAGATGAGAGGTTTACATGCTTCGATCAATCTAGATTTAAGACACGGCAGCATTCATAAATTTAGGCTCATGGTATTATTTAATTTTAATGCAAAATTGGTAAATGAGACGCACAAACTCACACTTAGCTTCTCCACGCTAAAGAGAGCCGCGACAATTTGACAAACGCTACCACACTTTCCTTCCTGTTCAAACGCAATAGGCAAGAGAAATCGCTGCGACGTGGTGTCAAATTTGGCCAGTTTGGCTGGAATTTCCAGGGCGTCTTCGTGATTTCTTTTAAGACTGACTGCTGATCTCTCTCGCGTCATATTAGTCTAAGAAAAAAGTGGCACATAAGGCAATGGGAGAAAGCGAAGCAGCAGTACCCCAGGAAAACTATCTTCTCACACGAGTTGATGTGATTTCGGATGCCTACTCACCTCTAAATAATTCAAGTGTGCTTTCACATGAAGACATCTGCGAGAGAACCTCGTTTTCCATGGTTTTTTTCCACCGTGCGCTTGTGTGCGCGCGTGCTGCTGTTCCAACGCCTCTAATTGGCTGCCACAAAACCCAACAGTTTACGGGAAGAGCTAATATTTGGTAATTTTACTCGAAACAGTGTGCTCGCACTCGTGTTTATTTGCACAATGACCTTGGGCTGGACTAATCATGCTTCAGCTGGCCGGTTGTGGGGTCAAACGGACGCTGGGTTAGTGCACTCAATCAAGTGCACACTAAAATCGATGGTGGTTCTCATCTGCTGTCACTGACATGTCAAGTCATGCGTTGATGTCGAGATAATTGCGCTAAATTAACTTAAAATGTAGGTGCTGTGTTGGAAAAGAGCCAAGTAGTTCTTTGTTGTAGCTATAAAAAAATTCCATTTAGTTTAGACTCGCAAGTTCCTCTTAGTAAACTTGTTAGCGAAAGTAACCTGATTGGCGGCTTTCGGCATAATATACCCTACCATCCAGCCACTCATTGAGAAGATGACAATTTAAATAAGGATTAAATTAACGTGTCGTGGAAATAAGCTACCGTGCGTTTGATTTGTACACCCAATCAGAAAATGGACTTAGAGTGAAACATGTTTGCAAGCATTCGACCTGTACGTTTTATTTTGCCGTTCCTATATCAACTGGCAATTCCTTTTAAAAAAACTAGTTCAATTTAAACGAATGACTCGCTTCATTGTGTCCAAAGTCGATAGTGAATTACAACAACTGCTAGTATTCGTCAATTTAGACATTAAGCCTTTTCATTTTGTACCATGAAAGAAGAATGTAACGGAGTGTCAGTGACCGCACGTGAGTGCAGCTTGCCTACAAGATTATTGATTTTAATGACTTATTTTTATTTTTCATTGGTTACTGTTATGAGTCGATTTTACCCGCGCGTGCGCACGCTCATCCGCCCACAAGGACACACGCTAATGCACGCTTTTGTCCGCTGTCACCTTTCCTAAATCAGTTACCGCGTTTTTAATGACTGTTAAACAAAGGGTTGTAGGGCAGGGCTTGGAAGGTTTTACACATTGCTGACTTACACTATGACAGAATCAAATATCACTGTGATTTCCTTGTATTTTGTGTTCAAATTCACTCTAGTGAGGTTACCTTGGTGGCGTCAAATTAAATGTCTTTGATATACCTACGTAGCGGCTTCTACGTAGACAACGGGCTGAAAACAGAATGTGGCCAATTGGATTGAGTTTAGACATCAAGAAGTTGATTCGACGCGGTCTTTAAAAACGATGCAACGAGAAACTTATGACTTGTACAACGCGCTCATTGAGTCAGCACAGAAGATATGTATTCGGGCAGTCTAATCTCCCAACTTGAATTCAACTAGGTAGCGATTGTTACCGTACATTAAGCGCTTTTTCGTACTCAAGTACAGCTAGGAGTAGTCTAACTTGACGACGATTGCTCTAGCGGCACCATTACCAAAAATAGAGCTTACGCCTTATCTGTTAAAAACCTGGAGGATTTAATAAACTGCGAAAACTTGGTACACAGCTTGCAGTTGTTTGATGCAATTTTGAGGCAAGGTAACGCAATCTCTATTGACAGACGAATGATCCAGCTGTCTTTATTCAGTTCATTTCTAGAAAAATGGTCTTTATTTTCCAATTTTTTTGTACAATTTCTGAATCCTTGAAATCTGTACAACCTTCAATTAATGGAGGCACGAATACAATGCAATAAACCTTCACGGTTAAAATAACCATGAAATAATTTAAGAGATAAGTTGAATGTGGCGAAAAAGCCGGCGACCTAATGCAATAAAACAGCAGGCAGTCGCCTTGGAAACATTTTAGTAATGCGTGCCTCAAATCAGAGTGTAAATAAATCTATGTAAAGTAAATTGGGACAATTTTTGAGTATTAGTCAACGGAGTAGGGGTAAGATTTCACTTGGTAACTTGCTCTATTCTTAGGATAATCTTCAGGACACTGTTGCAAACATGATGCTTTTAAATTTTCTTATATTTTAATTTACTATTAAGAGGACTGATTAATAGATATTTTGCAAGCATAAGATAGAACCATCTTTTAATAATTAGCAAAAAATTTTAAAAAAATCGGTGTTTGAACTAACAAGAAAGTAATGTCCTCGTACGAGTAATTGTTAAAATACCTTAGCATGAAACCAAAAACCAATTGCGTGATTTTAACGTGGAACCCATAAGCATGGTGGTTGGTTGCTTCCTTATAGATATCGTTTTTGTTTAAATCTAGTGATAAGAAAGGATTCAGTCGTCGTCTAATCAGTCCTTGCATTCTTGTGTGATTTAAGTAGGCGACAATATTTGGCTACACAAAACGACATTTACTAAAGCAAATCCGAGTAGAAGCAGATTTTTTAGGAAAATTATGACAATGTTAAGAAACATTAAATCGGTTACTGTTTACTTTTATACTCTCCTGCTTTCAGCTTGTATATAAAAATACCTACATGTTTTCTTCAATCCAACACTAAAGGTGCAAGATAGAGCGCATTCAAAGAAGAAAGTCAGAAAGTTAAAAAAAAGTATAAAACGCCTTTCATTGTCAATATATGAATGTTCAGCTAGCAAATGCCGTCCTGTAGGTATTGTAGTAGACGAATCACGAAAAGTTAATCATCAAATTAAAATGAAAACAGAGCCTCTAAAAGTAAAAGAGATTCAACCAAGCCTAATAATAAAAACTAAAAAATTCCAAATATCACATCGTTCATAACAAAACAAATTAGAAAAAAGTTAATTTGGACGCTTGAAAACATAATTTCCTCAAGAATTTGTCAACGTGACAGAAAATTCAAAATTACCTCCCCTTAAAACAGTTTTTAACACTATCAGTGCATTCAAGTTGCATATATTAATGCACTCATTATTTTTGAAATGGTTTAAACAAGTCAACTTTTTTTTATTTTTTTATGTCCTCTATTTCTATAAAATTAAAACTTATAGGTGCCAATTTATTAATATAAGAGTTGTAAAAGGAAGCCTAATAAATGTTACTAAATGCACAATAGGCCAGTGATTGAACTATTTCGCTTCAATACCGTATGGATAAAACAATTTCAAATGATTACCAAACTACCAACCTGTTAAATGCAAAAATTTAGATTTTTTTACATCATATGTAGCAGAGAAGAGCATTATCTCTTACATGGTCTGTTGTAAGATTGTTGCATGTTTCGGGGCTCTAATGACACGAAATAACAAATGATTTGCCCACATTTTAACTCATTATTTTTATATGCAAAACCAAATAATTGATAGCACTTAAATCATATTAATTCATTTAACAGTTCTTAATTTTGCATTATTATTAATAATGATCTTAATACAGTTAAGTCGCACCAACTGTGAAATATTTCAAGGCTGTTAGCGTAATTTGAAGTCTTGATACCTGTAAGATGGTTGGTTGGTTTGCACCTTGCTGCATTTGGATGCATTTCAGTTAATTTGTTATAATTGTCCTGTTAAGTAATTTTCCTAAGCGATATATTTTTTTAGCTTGCCTTGTGGTCAATTGCAATTTGTTTGCAGTATTCAATTGCAGCAGGGCCAATTTCTTGCCTGACTTTTCAGTTGTCAAATCAATTTTAACTTGAAATATTTTAAATTCTTGTATGGTTTTACGGTAGTTTAATCTAACGTTTGTATATTTCTGACAATTTACTGAGATATTTTTGGGTATTGGGCCGTGATTTCAAATCATCAACTGAATCACGCAATCTTAACCCACATTCGTCTTTAATATATCCTTCAAGCACCGTGGTGAATTTTGGTAGACCGTGAATATTTTCTCACTTATCAGCGGCCACTTAACCGTTCTATATCCTGTTTAATCTACTTCTAGCCCGAAATGGCTGAAGACAAGGTACTTCGAGTTGCTCTTTGCCAAATGAAGGTCGGTTCCCACAAACAAACCAACCACAAGACCGCTGTCGGTCTTATCGAAGAGGCTATTAAGGAGCACGGAGCCGAGTTGGTTATTCTTCCCGAGTGTTTCAACTCTCCCTACGGCACGCAGTACTTTCCAGAATATGCCGAGAAGATTCCTGAGGGGAGAACCTGCGAGTTAATGGGCGCTACTGCCAAGTATGCCGGGTTTGCATTTGTGTGGCGGGCACCACTATGCACTCCATTCTCTTACATCTTTGCCCGGTGTCACGCCAAGACATTCCTTTATTAAGAGTGTGTTTTTCCGTTTCGCTACAGACGCCACGGAATTTGGCTAATCGCTGGTTCCATCCCTGAAAAGGCAGCTGATGGAAAGCTCTACAACACCTCCGTGACTTTCAATCCCCAAGGCGAGATTGTTGGTACCTACCGCAAACTTCACCTCTTTGATATCAACATTCCGGGTACGTCCAGCATCGTAAATCGTTGAATATGTCGAAACTAGGGTTTATCTTGAAATTGTGCTTAGGCGTATAGTTAAATATGCCAAATATCTTTATGATGCTTTTGGTCTTATCGGCTTTTTCTCTCTTGCTGTCCTTTTCAGGCAAAATTACTTTCAAGGAGTCTGAGACTCTCTCTCCGGGGTCGAACTTTTTGGCTTTCCAGGTGACGAATAAGGCCGGAGATCCGTTCACTGTGGGCATTGGCATCTGCTACGACGTTCGTTTCTCCGAATTGGCATTAGTGTACTCCCGGCAAATGAACGCAGATCTTATCGTCTATCCGGGGGCTTTTAACACCACTACGGGTAAATTTGAATATTTTTTAATGAATTTCAACCACGGTTTGTGCTTTGAAATGTGTTTCATGACATTTAAAAGTCAATCTGGCAGCGTTATTGATTCCTTGCTCCTGGAACCACTTGTCATCGCCGTTTATTGAATTTTGCCTTCACGGAACACCATTTCTTTGCAATTGGCTAGTTCTGGCAGCGTAGAATTCGTGTTCGAGCGTCTATGGACTCGTGCTATTTTGTTCGACGGTAGTTTTTGGTTTTCTGGCCGTTGCACCCTCAACTAACTATATTTACCTCATTATAAGCACTTGGTTTTCAAAAACCTCGTATTTCCCGATTTTCGCACGTGAGTGTATCGGTGTAAGTCGTTGAATCAGCCCCTAAACGACTCGCTTTCGACGACCAATAGGCAGCCTGTAATTTGGCCAAATTTCCGCCTGATAGGACCCCTTCATTGGGAGTTGTTGGCGCGTGGTCGTGCCTTGGACAATCAGTGCTACGTGGCCATGTGTTCGCCAGCTCAGGACTTGGGTGCCTCCTACGTGAGTCACGCCGAATCCCTCGTCGTTTCGCCTTGGGCAGCGGTTCTGGCGAATGCCGGCAAAAATGTGAGTTTGCTGTGTGATTGGCTGAGTCCAATGTCAAATTCTCGGTCGGAATTCTAATCGATTTCGCTCAATTTTCGCCAATTTGATCTCGGTTTTTCCTGAATTACTTTGAGGTAGATCAAAGCTGGCAAAAAGGGTTCTCTGTTAGAAAGACATTTGTTGCGGTTACACCCTTCGCACGTGTGAACCACTAAACAAATTGAGCTCTCATGTGCACGCACACACCGGTACACACCCTAAGACCATAAACACCCCACCCGTGAGGCGCAAATGGGTGTAGTTTTATTTGCGTTTTACCGGTGGGCCTCCAATGATCTTGTTTTTTTTCCTTTTAGGAGGCTGTCATCGCCGTCGACGTCTCTAGGAATGAGCTGGAGCGCGTTCGCTCGAATGTGCCAATGAGGACGCAATTCCGCAATGACATGTACACACTGACCGCCAAGAAGTAAATCGTGTTGGTGGTGCAGACTTCCTAGAGTCTTTGATAGCCCTGTCTTCTAGCTTTTTCTACTTTGTACTTTTCAATATAGCACTTTCCTCCAAAATTTGACTTTTTATTCTTTTGGGAAATGACGTTGCTCTGGCCACGTGTTGAAACTGATCAATTTACACGCCACTCGGTTCAAATTGCAGATTGGTCTAGTGGTTCGATCGATTCTAATGTCACGTTGAATTCGTGGGGAAATTTAAACGAATGAATGTCTTTGAAATGATTAATCCGGTTCAATAAACGCCTTCTTATCATAAGCATGCCGCTTCTATCTTCTGATTGGTATTACTTCCAAGTGCTATGCATCACCAACCATGGTAATGTTCGTTAAAAGTAATAGTGAAACAAAAAGATCTAAGAACTATCGGCGTTAAGTTGCCGTTTCAAAAAGCGGTTACTCGACAGATCACTGTTTACTGCCCCAAAACGCCGCCGAATTTAAATTGATAATATCGATTTTCCAGAGTGTTTATGTTTAACGTCAATATGGCGAGGAATTTAAATGCGCGCCACTTGTATGCATTGCCCAATGACGTTGTGCCAACATCTGATTCGTTGTTGGTTGGCTTTATCTGCTGTTATGAGGTACAATTTGTGACGTCTTACCTGGCAAACGTCGGCAGCAATCGTTCCTAGAAATTACACTTTTCTGTAAATGCTCTACTTTACTGAGATCAGCAATGCTAACAGAGCGAAGGTGACACACCTATACCCCATTTATTTAAATCAAACGCTGCCTTGGAAATTATCGCACGAGTTAGCCACTTGATTAACGTGCTCTTGAAAACATCACGTCAGCTGTTAGAGGCAGCTAGATGTGTTGTGAAATTTTGACAACCCTTGCGGCAGCAATATGTAACTGTTACAGGTCTGTAATTTGTATAAATAAACGACCTTATATGCACCATTCTTGTCAATGCAAATGCATTCCGTACATATTTCTCAAGTTAAACTAACTGACCGTGGGTTTTTTGACAATAATCCAATGTAACACCGCCTTCTTTGATGGTCAACTGGATCACCATGGTTACCAACGAGCGAACTTATTGAAAGCAGTGGTAACGACGGGCAAAGTTACAAACTGAAATTTCCAAATGCAAACATTAAGGCAGATTTATCGATTAACCAGGTACACTTGAGTTTGTGCAATTTGCATACACTAAGTGCTGGAACAAATCAATAAATCAATGTGCGTAGTCTAGCCAAAAGTATCGATTTTCGTGCATTAAGAATTTGATTTTTACTCATGCAAATGCTCAAGCCAGAGAATTCATTGCATTAAAAAGGAAGCTCTAATACGAGGTATAATTTAAATAAACAATTTCAAGGTGTGTGCAATCAAATCGCGCGTAAATCAAAACATTGCAGGTTTGGCACGCGCCCTTTGGAAAATCATTTTCAATCACAATTGAGCAGATGAAGGATCTACTAGTAATGCACAATGGCTACCTAGAAGTGTCAAGATTTCTTACACTAAAGCGAGAACTGGGCAATATTGATTTCATTGCGTTCCCGGACTTATCTCTAATATAATCCAAAATGAAAGAACAGCTTTCATGTGTTCGCGGCTTTTAAAGTTTCATTAAACAGTGTCTACTGTAATGTTGTAAGTAGATAGTTTGTTTTATATTTCAGAGAAAGGCAGGTTTCGTTTCCGTGTTGGCAAGCTGATCGAAAGATTTAACTTGATAGGGATAAGCCATAGCATAAAAGGATAAAGAGTCAACTTAAGTAAAATCGCACACAAAACGAAGAGCCCGACTTGACATAGTAACAGTTGTGGTGACCCCGTCGTGTCAGCATTTCACCATCTCATTACACCGAAGTTCGGGCCGTTTCGTGGTAAGCACGCAACACACTTCTATATGAGCATAAAGAGTACTGTGTTGGGTCATTATGAGTAAACCTTCTATTTCGCGTGCATTTGCGCGTCACAGTTGGGTCTGTATTCTGATTTGCTAGTTGTCAAGGTCAAATTTGCAACTGACCTTGAGTTGACCTCAACGGGATTATTTTACTGGTCAGTTTAGTTACTCTTAAATGAAAGCGATTTTTCATTTTAAGTGGGTGTTGCCAATTGTGGAATGTATTTTGCCTTATATTTGTCATGATGCAAACGAAATTATGGGCAATCACATGACTTCACAGTGGAGGAACTAGAATGTGGACTGAAAATGACATTTCGTCACCCGCGCACAAAAATGCGACCTATTTCTCGGTCAAGCTTGTTACCAAAAGTACAACATTTGTCCACTTGTTAATGCACTCCAGTGCATGAACAAAATTCACCTAAAATATACCAGTTTTTGCAATAAATCTGACCAAATGTTTGCATACAACGTGTGTTAAAAATGTACATGGGGTTATTGATAATAGCGGCTTTAATTAAGCTAGGGTGCATCAATAAATGACGGTTGTGGATGTCGGTGGACGAGGAATCGCCAATGTCCCGTCATTTTGCCATCCCCTGGAATGGAAGTCTGAGTAAACGAATGCGATGACAGAATATGTTTAATCTTGTTCTCTTCCGTTCTCATCAAGCTCACCCACGTACACCGGAAGTGTGCGTCCACGTGACCAGACAAAGTTGGTGGCTTCGTCTTAGGTGGCGTGGATAAGTTCTTTTAAGATGGACATCAAAGCGGCGTGGGAGGTTCATTTGCCCGTCCATTGGCCAATAACCCTGACTGGGTTGTGGGGTGCCAGGATTGGGGAATTGTTTCAACCCCCTTTATCGATCAGAGGAGGCACAGACTTCCTTGATGGTCACGAAGACCGGAGATGGTTCAGCTTAGATATATGCTGATGTCTGTGTGCACACATGGGTCAGAAGCAAACAAGTGGGAATTTGAACCAATGGGTGCCCGCCCAAATGCGTTCCCACAGGACCAATGGCAGCCCCCGAAGGGAAGAGGCTGAACAGGCTCGCGGATTGGTTATTTAGTAAATTTGTCAATGTCAAGAGATATGCGTTGCCTTAGGTGACGCATGGGATTCACCACGATTCACTATACCGTAAGGAAGTGTTTTTTGAGAAACCCCTTCCCCCTACCAAACACGAGGGAACACTTTCGTTGGATGCGACGATTCGGAATTTGCCATAAATTCTGCTCTCTCATATCTAGACTTCCGGCGTCATCTTCTGTTCACATAATCTTCTGCAATTGTTGCTCGTTTTGTTGACGAAAGGAGCAAGAAATGGTTGTCAAAACAGGCTTCAATTTTTGTGTTCGAACATTATGTTTTTAAATGGCTTTATGCAATGCACTAGATCACAGCTCAAGTCATTACCACTGCCGGAAGTGAAGCAAATAATCTTCAAACCGACCAAGCTGCATTAGGCGATTTCAAGAGCCGGATTGCGATGACCGTGCACGTCTGGAATGCGCTTTTGTCGCGACACACCACAACGATGAATGTGCTTTCAACTTTTAAGGTCAAATCGAATCAGACATGGTCAAAAGTGCACGCTGCTGCCATCTGGAAATAGGCCATTATTCGTCTGTTTGCAATTATGTCTAAATCAGATGCAATTAGCGTTGGCATAATTATGCAAACACCGTCACGTGCTGCATCTTCGAAATTCATTATGGAAATTTTAACGTCTGACAATACATTAGCTCCCTATTCCCCAACCGACTGAATAACACGAAAGAAACGGGAAGATGTAAATGCGTCACAGAGAAATAATGGCATGCAAATTGTTACGGTCAGATTTCTGCAAAGCTGTCATCCCCGTATCTCTTGGTGTTTGATTGAGTTAATAGCAAATTACACCTTTTTTATACAAATAGCCATGCAAATAATAGTAACTGCTAGGAATATTATCACAAAATGTGGAGCGTAACCAGTTAATGTCAAGCAGAGGCGGTATGCAACCGTCCAGATGCTTAGGGCGTTCTAACGGGCGTCAGCATCCTAAAACAGAGGTTTGTGCAGGCATAACATGGCAAATGTTAGAAGATAATTGCTCTACTGCTTGATGAAGTCTGGCGATGTTGCGTATGTAGGAGCCAGCAACCCTCAAAATCGCTCACAACCACCACTGTTTGCAGGACTCTCCTAATCACGTCTCTTTTATTGATTATCCACCTCAAAGCCCTCCACTTGCGACTTCCAGCTGTGTTACTGTTACGCTTGCTCGTAACTAAGACATCACCCACTCAGGTAACTGGCACCCAGAGCCCTTGTTCGACGCCAGAACTGGCATTCCTACGCTGACGTAAGCCAAGACGCGGCACCATAATGACAGACCAATCTGTGTTAATCAGCTTCATCCACCAGGCTAAGATCGTCCTTGACTCATACAAGTGTGTGCATTTAGCGAGATCACTCGGCCTTTAGCTGAGGCCTTAAACGCTCTCCGCACGTGGCTCCGCCTTGTCTTGCATTATCGTGGGATGGTGGAGTGGCTAGCGTCTGATAAGGGATCTGGGGATACCGGTTATCTGAGTAAGTGTGTTGCCTTGGTTACGGGCAAAACGCAGCAGCTATATTCGCGACAAATACGCGGCCCAATTGAAGCGTCTCCTTTAAGAAGCGTTACGTAATTTCGAAATACTTGGCA